ACATATAATACAACACAGTACATTAATATTATTGAGGTTTTCTAGACTCAGATGGACATACAGGAAAGTTCATAGGACATCCAGAAAAGTAAAAGTTTGTTTACTGTGTGTGCACTAGAACATAAATGGTAAATAATTGAATTAATATGAATTATTAATGGTTGACTTTGTGTCAAAATATTATATTATATATAGGAATATTGTGAATATATTGTCACTAACGGAGTATCCGGAAAAGGTTTAAAAACTATGGATTATGTTTAGTCTATCTGCTCGTGTAATTCTATTCAGAGGTGGCCATCCTATGGTCCAAGTGTTGCTTAAGAAACACATACTAATTTTGATGGGTGGGTAGATGTTTGGGGTTTTTTTCCTTTTTAAACATGATTCATTGGTGCCTAATTAATTTATAGTATGATAAGGTTGATTTTACTTCAGGCTTTTATATATTCCAGTTTTCGACTACTGACTTATATTATATCCTATATGAAGATATATGATGATTCTCAGAAATATTCTCACCAACACATATTTTTTTGAGGATTGTTACGATTGGCTCTATTAAAGAAGAAGCATATATGCGATAGGTATTCGATAGGTAAATTGATCTGATTTGTAATACAAAATACCGAGTATGAAACATATCACATTATTAATATTATTAATATTATTAACATTATTATTATTTACTATCACTTATTTCTTCGTTTATTATTATAATGTTAAATATGAATAAAACAATTATTGTGTGATATATAGTTATGCATTTTCCTGTATGTCTTTAACCACACGCCTCCCCTCAAAAAAATGTTCCAAATTATTTTACCGGGTTCGATAAATTAAACCGTTCTATATTCAGCCATAAATAAATAATTAATGTTCGTACCTCATTAAAAATTGATATTGACGTGTGATGAAAACAAAGTACCATCAGTCAAAAAGTTCGGATGTTTAAGGGAGATCTATAAACTGAGCGAAAAAATCCGAATATTTTTACAAACTGAAAAAATGTTTTCCGAGAGAAACAATCCGAATCTTAATAAAACTATAACGACTTCTCTACCACATCACACGGGGTCTGCAATGATCATTATATTTGTATTTAATTCGTATTGTATGTACTAATAATAATAAAATATATGTTGCACACACAGATATAGATGTACAACTAGATAGCGTAGATAGATAGACATAGTTATGTATAACAATGTAAATATTTCCTATTCAATTTTGAATATTATTGGATTTGATCGTGATATTATTTGTTAATGGGTTCTGAACAATAGCAAGCAAATTAGCAAAATGCAAACGCGAACATCCCTGATAAGAAAAACGGGCGTTTTTGTTGGCCGTCAACATAGTCGATATTCGATTGTTACACCGGGTCGGCTGTATGTAATGGTTAAAACGGTTGGTTGCATCCGTGGTCACATAATAACGTAATGGTTATCAGGCGTCAGTGTTATATCCATGCTAGGAGTGATGCGTGCGTACTATGCAGGGTATGCCGTTGCATATTCTGCAATTTCACGTATACGGGCTAAAAATTGTTCCGGTGCACATTTTTTTTCACAGTACCTAAACTCTGGTCGTTTTTACATAATTATTCGTTATTGGTTTAATAATTAATTCACGCTACATTATGTATCATGATCCGCCGTGGTTTTTTCTTTCTTTCTTAAACCATAGCATTGTTATAGGGGGCCCAGCGAATATGTTTCGGGTGCTTATTTTTTGTAACATTGCGTAAGCCCCGGACGAAGTCTGCGCACGCCTTCGGCTATCGCTTATCGCAATATATGCATCGCGTTTCTACATAGATAATAATATTATGCAGGTAACGGAGAAAACAATGTGTCTCGGAAATAAATAAATATACGACGGTCAATGGGGGCCCCCACCCCGTACACTCCCCTCCACCGCCAATACGCCACCGGCGAAAACGCGCGTAATATTTTTTGATTCGTCGTTCGCTCCGGGGACGAAATCCGAAACGTACGTAATTTGTTTTCTCGCCGATTATCGTCACGCGCGCCATGATAAGCGTAGGCGGAGCCACGGACGAGTATGCCAGGTATGTCGCCGCGACCGTACCCCGAACGACGAAAATACAATAACAGGTGCTTATTAGACCGCGGACAGTGTCGTGGCATTTTTTTTTTTTTTATTGTTATTATTATTATTGTACACAAAAGTCAATGTACGAGTTTCCGATCGATTGACGAACGCGTGATTCTCTCTTCTTTTTTTTTTTTCTTTTTTATCAGCGTAAAACAAACCGAACAAAAACGCGAATCTGTGTACCGACTGCGAATACCGCGGACTGCGCGCCGAAGGAAATTAAGTGAAAATACTTATATCGCGCGACGACGACGTATCCGACGGCATTTTATTATCGCGGTGTCCGTATGCCGAAAACAAATATTTAGATATAGGTATGTTTATACAGATTAATTTATTATTATTGATTTAGTTATATACACACACAATAATAAATTGTGCGTGGGTTGGGTTGCGTAGTTGGGAAAACTCTCTTTTTTATTTCTCTCTTTAAATTCTGATCGCAGCGAGCAATGTATAATAAATCGGATTCACTACGACGCGCGTTTTTTTGCCTGCCTCTGAATCGCTTTTCTACCAGAAATCGAACGCTCCGATCAAAACGCTATCCTTTTTTTTTTTTAGCTAAACTTTGAATCTGATCAGCGAGAATTATAAGGGAAGTAAATAGTTTTTGATTTCCCGTGTAATTTTCTTGACTGTTGTGAAAAACGGGAAAGTTTTGTTTTTTCGTTGTAAAATAATAATGAAAAAAGACACATGTCCACAGAATACTTATATATGGGATTTTCATAAACGTAGTAAAACATTTTCAAAATATTCTGGAGAATTTGAGCTGGCGCATTTGATATTTTCGATTTGTTTTAGTTTTCATTTGGTTTCTTGGTGATTAAATTGTTTTGTATTTTACACGAGGTTTATTATAAGTTTTACTTGGTGGCTTTAGAAATTTTTTTTTATAAAATGAACATTAAGTAGTTGTTTTTTTTAATAAGCGTTTTAAGTTCAAATTTTGAAAATAACTGCTTTTTGAAACACGTTTAACCGAACTTTGCTCAGATTCTTATTTAGTTGGCAATGGTTATATCGTTGTGTAAAGACATACATTTAATAACTTTATGTATCCATCCTTCCCCGGTTTCCATCTACAACAGTAGCGTAACCATCGACCATCAGCAATATCAGTTCTTTTTTTCGTAATGTATTTTATAACGTGCAATTCCAAGTTTAAGTTTCGAACGTATCAAATAGAATGTTTTTCTAGCGGCGTTTTTTTTTTTTTTCATTGTCAATACGAAATCTCGTGTATTTCTGTTAGATTCCACGAGTGAAACGATAAAACTATACAGAGCCTATATATTGTTATATTATTGATTTTTCCGGGGTGGACAAATGGTAGACAAAACCCTTAAAATACTGACTTTTTAACAACTTGCTATGGTTGTTAGAAAAAAAAACATCGTGATTTAAAAATAATTTAATGATGGTATGATACGTTTTAACTTATTTAATTAATACCTAATTATCAATTTATTAAAACACGAGTGATTGACGCCATCTTTTAAATACCGTGAACAAGGCTCTCCTTTTGTCCATGTCTATGTGCCCGCATACGGTCACAGTATTTTTGGAATGTGGTTTCCACTAAACGTTAGACTCTAAAGAATGTTCGCATTGATTTTCAATCCAATCAGTGAAAATCGGGAGCTTACGCTATTCCGATACTCCGGTTTATGATGTATAGGTTTATTTTTGTTACTTCTTGGGACGATCTCTCGTCCTGCAGCAAACGAATATTCTCTGTTCGAATCGTAATTCACCGATCGAAAATTATTTGTATTCTGTAATAGTAAAATCGGAATCGTTTTAAATATATTCTATCGATTGTCGCTTTATTAGCGGAAAAATTTAACCCCGATTTGCAATTCATCGTTACGAAAAAATCTCGAATATTTATTTACACGCCATTCATTGTTGAAACAATAACAAAACTACGGCCGTCACGTGATGTATAGGTTTTTAAGCAAAACTAAATAAAATGTTTGTTTTTTTTTTTTTTAAACTCGATCTTGAGCACTCGTTTTGTGCATTTAAACCAAAAACATGATTCTTACACATCGAGTCATTATGAATAAAAAAAATGTTTGATTATACATAATTGTATTAATATTTTTCCCAGGGCAGGGGTGCGTAAAATGTTGGAAATTATCGGAAATACATTTGCTCGGAATCTTAACAATAATAATATTTAATGATAGCATAATGTGTATAATTCATCATTAAAAAAATATTATATTTTAATAAAGACATTTGCGACAGAATATGTTTCCATCAAAATACGGTTCTAATAAAATATTATTGTTCATAATATTCTTTTCGCAAAAATACAGTTCCGAACAAATATATTTTCCAATAAAATATAATCTCCTCTCGGAGAAGAAGGGCTTAAATCAATTTTAAGAATTTTTTTCCTCTTATAATATTATCTCATGCAATTTATTTCCATTTACTTTTAAATTGTCCAAATTACCAAATTTCATAAGTGTATGCACATTATATTCTAAGATATCATAACAATGTTCACTATAAAAAGACCATAATAGTTCCACAATTATAAGACTTAAATCATTTAGACCGCCATATTTAGGTTAGGCCATTTAGCAATAAATTATATCATAATATCCTTAAGCAATTTAAAAAAAAATAATCAGCTTGAATTGGAAATTAACCGAAAATCGACCTAAACCCTTCTTCACTGGGACTAAGGAAATATTTTCGTCGATTCTCATCACAATTACAGTTCGACTAGACGACAATCAGAGAAATTCGAAAAGCATATTTTACATACAGAATGATTTTTTTTTATCATGAACCAGCAATTATCTTAGAAGATTTTAAGTAAACTTGATTTCTGCTTTTTCTTATCATAATGGAATCATTTAAGCTTTACTTTAAAACCATTTTTAATTTTTTCCCTACTCCTATCCCATACCTTAAATAAGTGCATACGTTTGATTTTCAAATAGGACCCTCCCCCCTTTTGAACACAGATTTTAATAGAGAACATTGTATATTCATAACACTAATATTAGATTTACCGTTTATGAGTTATAACAGTTTAAAGTTTAGACCGGAGGAGTAGGGAAGGATAATCAATTGCCTATCTATATCTAATAAAATTCACTTAAAATCCTCTGAGATAACTGTAGGTTCATGATAAAAAAAAATCACCCTGTATAGATGAAAAGAAAGTTTAAACCGTGTTCATTTGCCAATCTATAATTCTATAAATAATATAATATGTTATTTCTATAAACGAAACGATTTGAGCATAATTTTGTCAGCTAAAATCGTTGAAAATCGATAAAATGCAGGTGTCTATATAGTCGTATGTTATAGCTATATAGCTGTAATAGTGTTGTTCAATCGATTTATTGGTTTATTTTATATCTACCACGATAAATTAAACGGGGCATATACCGACGTATTGTATCATACGCGTACCTATGGGATATAAATATTTTTTTTTATTAATATTTACGATACCCGCAATCATTATCTTACATACTCGATTGGCCTTGGGCACAGCTATTATATTTTATTTTTCTAAGAAATTTGAAAAACAGAAAAAAAACATCATGATCCGTTTTAAATAACACACAGTAAATATTTCAATTTTATTATACCTGGCTGCATAATGCACATCGTATAATCCGGTTTTAAAATATCGTTTTCACATGCGTATTTGTCCAGTTTCATAAATTGTATTCTTATTAATGGTTTAGACCTTTGTTTTTCTTTTTCAATTAATTAATGTGCTTTTATTTTGAACGACAAACCCTGTATATTGTATTTGTTTTCGGCTTAATAAACTTCCTTTTTGATTTTATATATTCAAAAAACGGGTTCAAAAACCCGATAAACCAGTGGCGTAGGCAAGGGAAGGAGGTTAACCTCCCACTTCCTTCAACTCAATATTAACACTTCAGTATATGTGTAATTTTTTTCAATTTCCAATTCACTTCAATTACAAATGATATCCAGTTAGACCTCTCAACCCAAAAATACAAAATCTATACCAAAGTCTTTAAGATCGAACCATGTATAATATTTCCCTATAATTATGGCAATCCAAACATATTGTAAAAATACTGAAAAAACAACAATAATGTTTCGATTTTAATGCCAAGCACGCGTCTATACATCCGTGTTTTTAATGCAATATCCATAAATTATATTTTATTACTTTTCACCCCGCCTGTAACTGATTACATTATCTCACCAAACACGTTTTTTCCCCCTGTAATATAAATTCCATATTATAGGTAATTGAGACGAATTTTTTTTGTAATGTTAATCACGTAGATGTTTAAAGAATAGTTTAAAATTATTTATTATTCATGAATAACCGTTATTCGAGTTTAGGGAAGTGATAATATCGAAGCTAATAACAATTATCCGATAATCGTCTCCGTGTAAAACGATAGAATCTATTATTTATTATTGACGATAAATATCATGTGTAAATTCAATAATACTGGAGGCATTGTGTTAAACTATCGAATTTTTTATGTATCGTTAAATTTCTGGAAAATAAATACCTCGGTTTCATGCGTAGTCTGCGTAAACGGAAACTCTAGAAAATTTATATTATTTTTATAATAAAAGTAAAAAAAAAAAAAAAAACAATGTTCTTTTTCTATAAACCGTCCAAGTATATATTACATTGTATTTTACTTTCTTTTTTTTACATACATTTTATAAATTATTATTTTACGTTCAATTACACATACGTTATTTTAATATCCTTAAAGTTAGCAGACCATGACTATTATTATCCTATAGTTAAATACCAATTAGTCGCAAATTAATCGTACTGATTAAAAATTGAATGCATTAATATAAAAATTTGACACATTCAAAAAAAAAAAAAAAACAAATAACGGAGGCATCCCGAGTGCGTCCCATTTTTAAATTATACCTTTTACATAGCTCGAGTGCGTCTGCGGTCTTATTGACAAATAATTTTGAATTTCCCGTGTGTCCATTAATCTATTTAAAAACTGATAAACTTAATAATTGTATTTATGCACCAGCCTTTAGCACAGTAAGTATAGACAGAATGTTTAATATTTTTCTTATATATAGGTATTAAAAAATATAAAGACAGACATACTTCGCGCGATTTGTGGGTCACTGTTGTAGGTGAGAAGTTGACCAGGTAGGATAGAGAGGGAAATTTAATTTATGTCTGTACGCAACGATAAACCATTTATATCAAAAAATGATTCGGAGCGAAGTTTCTTTTATACATATAGGTAAATTGTCCTGTTTTTCTTACGTTTTTACCGTTTTCTCCAATTATTATGAAAGTCGCTTGGAACATCAAAAAGTGACTTTCCTAAAATAAAGGTACTACCCAAATAAAATTTTCCTTCCGAAAACATACTACACTTGAAAATTGGAACACGATTTCTGGTAGAAAAGTTGTTCACAAATAAAAAAAACATCATTGTAACCATAAATCATCATAAAATCAATACATTCCTCATTACGCTCCGAATCTAAAAAAAACACGGTATAACACTCAACCAACCATAATGGATGTAAGCCGATAATAGATAACAAAAAAACAAAATATTTTCATGGTGTAAGACAGTTCACCTCTCCGTGGTACACCCTGCATAAATCTAAATAAATTGGATTGCATTCGGGCTTCGTTGGAATATGATATGTTTTCTTGGGACACACCCGAGGAATATTATTATTCCGGATGCACTCAGGTATCCCTCAAATAATATTAACCTTCCTTAATAAACTTGGATAATTTATTTTTCCATACAGACATCTTATAGGCAAATACAAAAATACTGGATAGTTAAAAACTTATAAGCTCGGACATTATTGCATTTTTTTCTTTCTAGGTGGGTGGAATCGTTAACAGTAGTATCATTAAATTCTGTTTACTTGTCTCCTGATAGAGTACGTAGTATAATGGCGGTGAAGTTGAAGTTTGATACTTATAATCGTTCATTGCTAATTCCGAGTCAACTGTTGCGAGTATGGAGATACGAAATTAATTATTTAAAAAAAATGTATAAGTATACATAATATTTTCCATCTTCTTCATGGATATATATTGAAAATGATTGTGGGATTAATTGTCATTGAATGTCTTTTATCACTCGGAAGCACAATATTTGGGACTTATATTTTGAACCATGTATAGGTATCAATAAATATTTATCTTTTTCGATAGGCTGAGGTTTTTCGGGACCATTCATTTCAAAAATGTACGTATGTTACACTGACACACTAATAACGGAAAACCCCGAACGGATCGAATTCAAAATGTCGGTAAAACGAGAAAAGCAACAAATGCTGTATATTTTTAATTAATACAATTAATTTTCGATTAATAGGCATTTAAAATTTAAGATATACTAATACTAATTGCGTTCTACTGACTTTGCTCTGTTAACTTTTAAGGACACACCATTTTATGAGTATGTGACGGTATATTATAAAAAAAAAAAATCTTCAATTAGATTTAGGCGTGTATTTACTTAATAACATTTTTCTAGTAGAGTAAACCGCTTTTTTCTGCATTTTTTTAAACATTTTCAAACAATTATTAATATAATTTACATTATTTTTTGTTATATGTAATAATATATATTTTATGAGCGCTTCACGGTGAGAAGACAACGCCTCGGTTTGTAGCCTAGGTCCGGGTCTTTATCATCGTATAGGTTTCGGTTCGATTTTGCAATCCGTGCAGGGAAAACGTGAAACGATTGTTATGTTTTCGTGTTTGATGAGAAACGTTATAATATATCGGAGTTTTTTATTGTAACAGGTACGTGGGAATTTTTAAACGATTCGCATTTAAGAAAATAAACAAAAACTGAGTCCACCTTGCCTAGTATACCACCTGCCAAAAAATAAAACATACACACGGAGATTCCATAAATTTTGTTCAGTTGCCAAAACGCGTTTTTGCGCATAACACGGGTTACTTCGTATAGTACGGTGATTTATACCATGAAACGTGTTCAACCACAATAAAGAGCGACGAGGAAAAATTACAAATTTTCGAAAAATGTAGAGAACTATATATATATATAAGAAATACGATTACGAGAAGAGAAGAAATGTAGATCCTAAGTAACTGTAATATCAAGGGCGTATTTATTAGAAAGATAGATGTATCCCCTTGAGTATTTTTTGTAAATCTGTTAGATATATGATTTCCTATTTTATAATTTTTTTTTTTAAATAATTTTATTTTTTACCCACATAACAAAAATGTGTTAATACCCTATAGTTATAATAATATATATATAAAAAAACCTGAACATACTTTATCTTGTTTAAAACCATTCTCGTCAGTTGTCATCACACATACCATTCAACAGAGTGATCAACCACATAACGTAAGACACTCATTGTCTCGGAATGTATTATTACTTTTTTTTTGAAATTTGTTTTTTAGAACATCTAAGAAACACACGCAGCTGTAAAATGCTATTTTTAGCACCCTTATTTCAGGGAGTGAAACCGCTATCCACTTTTGATTTTCAAATAGCAACCTGTAATAAAACGTCCATAAATAAACGAAGTTTTAATTTGAATAAACTTTGGTTTTGAAATTTTAAATTTCCGTGTCAATCCATTAACGAGTTATTCCATTTTTAAATTTGGGTAGGAGCCATGAAGGGTGTAGTAGAGCACCATTTATGTGAGAAGGAGGTGGCGTTTAAATAGTGTTCTACCCTACTCTCCTCTACCTTAAAACGACAAATTTAAAATCTATTTAAACTAATATTTCAATTGTTTATGGATTTTTTAATATAGATTGCTGTTTGAAAATCAAAAATATAGGTGTAGTGGTCTAAGCCCCGAAAATAATGGAGTCAACAAATAACAGCAATTTAATTGTAATTTCTAAAGGGCTTTTACGCATTCTAGAATACATAATACGAAAATATTGTGTTAACAGAGAAAGAAAGTAAAGCGGGGAGGAAGCAAAGATTGAAAAAAAGAATTAGACAAGGGTGTAACTTACCTACGCTATTTAACTTATATATTGAAGTTTCACTAGAAAAATTAAAGGAAGAACAAACAGGAGGTATACAAATTATACTGGTATGCAAATACAAATGTTACATTTTGCGGACAATATAGCGGTGATAACGGAAAGTGAAGAAAATTTAAGCAACATGATTACAAAAATGAATGGCAGTTGTAAAGAGTATAAAATAAAAACCAATAAGTATAAAACTAAAATACTTGTATGCAGTAAACATGCATTGGATTCGAACATAATAATTAAAAATAATAAATAAAAAACAGTTCAGTGTCACACGTACTTGGAAAGTAAAATAACATATGATGAGAAAAGTGAGACGGACATAAAGAGCAGATTAGCACAAGAAAAACAGGTTTTCTACAAGAAGAGAAATCTATTTACAGCAAGTATTATTAATCTGAAGATCAGAAAAGCTCTTATAAAGAGTTTATACACTCCATGGGGCAAAAACATGGACGATACTTAAAGCGAAAAGGAAAATAATTAAAACTTTTGAAACATGGTGCTGGAGAAGAACACTAGACATTTCTTGGACAAAGAAAGTAAAAATAAAGAAGTATACTCAAGCGGAAAACACAATAAGAGAAAAAAAGGAAAAAATGGATCGGATATATTATGGGAAATAATGATTATGGGAGGGAAGATCGTATGAATGTATTGAAATTATAGAATATTCAAGGAGCGGTCACATCGTTGAAAAGTGAGTGATGAGGAGAGAATATTACGTTTTTCGAATGATGTTTATAGTTACATGACAACGACGGCAATAATACGATATTATTCTAAAAAATTAAAAGTTGTCTTATTTTTTTTTCTTTTCCTCAATTATTTTATATTACCTCTGCACTGCGTCCATGTCGTCCCGGGGCGACATGTTACCCTGGTTGAGAACCACTGGATTAAACGATAGCAAATATTCGAGAACTTTTATATTTATAGAGCAACATATTGTACGATAAACATTCAATGCTAAATCATAGAAAATAAACTTATATTATTTTAATCTATGGCTAAACGAAATAACTATAATTATCAATGCTTCAGTACTAAGTTATGGGTATTTCATATTTTCAACAAAATAATATTGCTGACAAAAATGTTTAAAATTGTGAAAAGCAATTTTGGCGCCCCTCTGAGAATAACGCCCTTGGCGACCGTCTGAGTCGCTTTACCCTCACGCCAGCCCTGCCTGCAAACCACATGTAGCAAGTTTAAAAAAATGCCCATTAGAAGCACGACGATCGAAAATGTAATCGAGAAACGGCAACGATGAAAAGACTGTAGGACAACGGCAGCGGCTAGACAGTGTGAAGCAAGATATAAGAATGGTCGATGCGGATCAATAATGTCGAAGGACTCCTTATAGATTGGGATATGGATGGAGAAGTAACCGGCTAAAACTATTGTAAAGAGAACAAAAAACTCGCGTCCACACATACTTTTGTTCAGGGATGTAGTCCTAAAATTATTTGTGAGTATCCGCTTAAAACCGTATGCTAAATATGTAGCAGTTTAGGGAGGTTTTTGTCGTCAACCCCTCCCCTTACACCTGCGTTCAGTTATATAAATTAATAACAAATTATATTAACTTCAACCATGCAATTAATATTATTATAAAATATATTTATTTATCATATACATAATATGTATTTATAAATTAAGGTTATATAATAATCCATAGTTTTTGTTTCAAACTTTATTTTTAATTTCTTATTGTGTTTCTGGATCTATTGTCATCAGCCGTTCTATGGTTTAAAATCCAAATTTTAACATAGTCTTAATACTTAACCATTTATGTTAATGAGCATCAGATTTGAAATATTACGAATAATAAATCTTGAGCGTATGATGTCAGTGCAAATAATATTTACCAAGCTAAATCTACATTCGCATTCCGCAGTAGAACATGGAATTGTTTCTATCAAATTATTTATTTCATTTAGTTATTCAATTTTATTAATTTCTTCATCGGTTAATATTCGATATAGTATAGTACAGTCAGTAAAATTATATTTTTGGTTATCTAATTGTAATGCTTTATAATTTTTGTCCCTTTTACCTGGACAGTTAGACATAATATAGAATAAAATGATTTACTGACATAAAAAAATGTATGGGTGTACGTACATATTTCAGCGATTACTTGCGATCTCCAGTTTTTTCTTTAGTATGCTATCTTTGGAAAGTGGGAATGCGCTGCATACCCACGCATACCCTTCACTACATCCCTGTTTTTATTCAGTGGCGGTACGTAGTATTTTTACCTTACATCACCGATTTAATTTTCCATCCACCGCGACCCAAAAGTACCCCCAATCTACACCACTAATTTATTGAAATTTGTTAAATGCCAATCAAATTTGCCAAATTTATCGAATTTCCGCGGTCGGAAGTTTATTTGACGGCTTTTGTTTTGTTTAAAACACATAATAATTTGTATTATATTTCTGAACACCCGGGTAGGAGCCCAAGACCAGTGGCGTGGTGTGATGTGATCAGTGGTGCAATCAATCACCAAAAAATATATACCTACCAGTACCTCCATCTACCTCTATCACCTTCAGAAAGCCGCTATAACATAATCAAAAATGATTCAAGTAATTAACCGTAACTCCTAAATAGACACTATCAATAAATCATAATGTTTTGAACTGCTGAAGTCAATGAGTGAAAATGACTCGAGTTCCAACATGGCAGTAGTCTTATGTGGTCGTACCAACGCTGATAGTACTGGTGTATAGTAAATAGTGTCATGCTATTGACATCACGATCATTGGTCGTATAACACATTTGAAAACAGCTCATATTGCGTTATATCCCAACACGATTCCAAAATGTAATGTATAATTTTGCATTAATAAAACTTGATCATGAACATAAATTGTTCGTTTAAAAATACGCCTATAAAATTTCGAAACCGAAAGTGTCGGCCACGCTTACACCGCTTATATGCACGTCACGCCACTGCCAACGATTCGTCGGCCCGTTTTTTCGGCGAATCGCGTGATTCGAGCGGGCATGTAATATACATGCATCATTCGCGTCGCCACTGCGGTTTTGTCCGAGAAAGCGTCTCGCATTTTCATCGACAAAAGATACACGCTGTATAACGGTAGGTGATGTTTTTATAACCGGATCGCATCGCCCCGGTATTTTTTCCATTGTCGTTTTTCGCCCACCCCGTAACCGTAGTATGTACGCGCGGTTTTATTGCACACATATTTTATTTATTATTCCGTTGTTCGTTAATTTATTCGCCCGCGTGGCGGCGGCGGCGGCGGCGCACACTACACGTAGGTAATGGTCGTGTGGATACAGGTGAATAATATCGATGACGGACGGACGCGGTCGACGCGAACCGCGCTCGCGTTTGTTTTTCGCGCCGCCGCCGATCCGGATTTGCGATTTTTGGCGGCGCCGCCGTCGCCGGTGCGTCATCACATCGTGACGCGCGCGAAACGCAGCAACAACGGTACCCGATGAGGTATGACGTATACTCGCGACGGCGGCGCGGACGGCGGGAGAGGGGGGGCCCTACCGCAATGTCCACCTACTGTACGCGGGTCCGGGTTATCGTATCCGCCGCGCCGCCTTTGCCGCCGCCGACGTCGTCGTCGTCGTCGGGCGAATATATTATTATTGTAATAATGTCGTACCGCGTGCCTCGGGTATGTGAAAAATACCGTAAACGCAACAACGCTGTTATTACCGTGTCTGCGACGGCCGCGTATCGTCATCGTTATTAGGTACAATCGTCCGACCGACCACCAGCTATTGGAGAAAAAGAAAAAAAAAGTGATTTAGAAAATCGCTTTTTAAATTTTCGGGCAGTCGTTCTCGAACGGCCGTCTCCGTCCCCGGCCGTTTGTATACGCGTACCTGCATTATAACAATATAATCACGAGCCGGGATACGGTATTTTTTTTATCACCCCCTTTTTTTTTTTTTTTTTCTGCGAATTCCGCGAGAATACGTTCGGGACCCCCGCCTAAATAACCGCGAACCGGTGTACAACGATAAAAAAAAAACGCATTCCCCGCCGCCGCCGATATCGAACAGCGCGGCGGGGTGCGTATTACCGAAACGTACATGACCTCGGCACTGCGTGCAAAACAAACCGACGCCATTGGTTAATTTAAAACTAGCGATTTGCCGCCTTTTGAATAATGTTAATTGATAACAAAATTGAAAAATAAGAAACGATACAATTATGCTCATTGAAATTCATTTAAAGTCGCAAGAACAAAATAATTATTATACTTAAGGTATTATTTTGGATTATCATTTCACACATTTTTGTATTAGTACCTAAGAATATTAAAAAAGAAAGGTAACATAATGGGGACGGGTGCAACCACTGATGTAAGTGGAAAGTTAGGAAAGTAGGATATAGACGAGAATTTAATGTGTAAGCAACGATAAACCGTTGCTTACGAAAAGTTCAGTTGATAGTGATGCTTTGTTAACAATATATATGTCATTTTATAGTAAAAAAAAATAATTTATATATTTTCTTTAATAAAATTAGTTTGATGTTGTACCGATTTTCCCAATTTTCCTACGTTTTTCTCGGTTTTCTCAGGTTTTATTCCGGTTTTTTAAATTTGTTGAGAAAACTCTTGGGAAAATCAAAAAATGACGTCTGTAAAGTATCTCCTTAGTGAAATTTCCTTTTAAAAACATTGTCATCATTAAAAATCGGAGCGAAATTGCTGGTAGAAAAGTTGCACACAGAAAAAAAAATAAACATCTTTGTAAAACCACAAGCTTCTTCACTCCACTCAGAATCTAAAATTAAAAAGTTGAATTATATTCGTGTAACTATACTTAATTGTACTCATTATACTAATTTATGAAATAACTGATAGGTCAGATAGGTAATAGCTAGTAATCGTAGAACGAAATGCAGATACTTTAATTAATTAATTGAGACAAAAGAACTTCTATTGATTAATGTCAAATATTTTCATTTGGAAGTCTAATAAATACATTTTTAATAATAAGTATCTATTATTTTGTATTGTTAAATTTAAAAATTACATAAATCACTGGTCTTTAATCTTATTACTGAAAATTTTATTTATATAGTTTATTCATTTATCTTATTTCTTCTTCTTCGGGTACCTATCTAATTCCGAATATTCACGACTATCACATCATTCCCAAATTTGTCTGCCCTCTCTTTCCAGATATGTTCCTCGTAGACAATATTGAACTAAAGAATATTTGCTCTCATTTCTCATAATGTAACCCAGATATTATTAAAGCATTCTGATGGTATTAATGTGCCCAGTGTCTTTGTGCATTCTTCTGAGACCTTCAATGTTTGCAATCTAACCAGTTAAGCATTTTTTTAGACAATCACATCTCAATCGTAAACTCTATTGATTTGGCCATCGGCAATTATTATTAAATTATAAAGGATATTTTTGTTAAATTATGAAACAACTGTTTATAATAATGTTTAAAGTTATGAAAAATTCACAATATTTTATGTATTTATACGATTGAATATTCAATATAAAACAAGTCTGATAAAATAAATTATGTTTACTTTCAATGGTACCTGTTGTTTGAATTATAGGTATCTATCGTCTTTGTTACATTTCAAATAACTATTATTACAGATAAAAAATAAATATTTTCCATTTTAAAATGTCAACTATCAATAATAGGTCCTATGTTTAGTTTCATTATTATTCTAAGTGACAATATGTATCTAGGTATTGAACATTAATGATGAAAAGTTGAAATGTTAACTATTTGTATTATATGACATAATTAAATTATAGGTACACATATGCTATTTATATTAAATAACCGTATACTCAAACTTATACTTTTCACTGCCACACTTTAAAATTTTTGATGTTTAATTTTGTTATCTTTTGATGTTAACATATTATGTTTTTTGTTATGTAGTTTGATACGCCTTTACAAGTACTATAAATTAGCTGTTATCGTTTGTTCGTCAAATAATCACATTTTAATATAAACGATAGTGAATGCATACGCGCAACATCCTGTTAATGCAGTCTGTCTCTGACGGATATGTCCGTGGACTTTATTTGTAATTTAATTATAAGTACAAAATGGGTCATTAAAATATTGCACAGGGAAGTTGTGCAATTATTATATTGGACTGAGTACGATATTATAGAGAGATTAAAAGCATTTTAAATGTGGTTGTATAGACGAATGCTGAAGATAGGTACAAAGATTGAAGTCCTAAGAAGAATGAACAAAGACGATGAGCTCATTAACACCATCATAATGCTCCAATATCTGGGTTACATTATGAGAAACGAGTACAGATATACTTCATTTCTGTAAGGGACAATATTTCGAAAGAGAGAGTTTGGCAAAAGAAAAAAAAATAAATTACTTCTATTGTAGTTATATGAGACTATAAACACCAGAATATTCGGCGATATGGATTTTTGGTAAAATCCATTTTGTTATCATTATAAAAAAAAAGGCGGTAAACGGCCCGTTTTAAATTTTCCAATAGTATTGGCTCGTTTTACGCGTAGTGCCGAGGTCATGTACGTTTCGGTTATATGCTCGCGGGGTGGCGGGCGCAGTGTGCGCACCGACCGCCTGCCTGGGGAAATGTCAGTCGGCGTCCACGGCGACACTGCAGAGTTCAATCACACCACTCTAGCGTACGATTTTGCTGCGTGTGTGTAGCCGCTACTCCTTCGCCGCCGCCCTAGTCTGCGCCCGCCGCCGATTACTGAATGGCGATAAAAAAAAAACAACAACAACAAACCCGCGAGTGCGTTTAACAATAATAATAATAACAATAACAATAATAACGCGAAAAGTCTCGCGAGAACAAGGATCAATGCGAAACGGCGCGACGATGGCAGTGCCGTCGGCAACGTAGTGTCGACGTCGGACGAAATTACTGTAAGGTAAACGTAGACGATACACCAGCAACAGCAGCAGCAGCAGAGGGACGGCGCGGCGGCGGTGGCCGTTTGCTAACGGAGACGAATACAATATCGGATTAATGCGTATTATCCTAGTAGAAACTAGCGAAAGTAACGAAATACCCCGAAAACTATAAAGTAAGAGAAATATCTACTACATACCTACGTACATATTGTAATGTTCATGACCGACACGTACGCTCTTAATAATAATAATTATCCGTAAACTATGCGAGCTACATTTTGTCGTAATAAATTGTCCGGCGGATTAGATATTCGTGCGTCCCCCGGACACCCGCCAACTGCCCCGCGGCGGCCGCCATATCGCACACGTATTGCGACCGTAAATACTCGCGAATCGTAGGCACAAAATGCGACGGTCGGAGTCGTCGTGCGATAATAATAATAAGAAAAAAAAAAAAAAAAAGGCGAAATAATAATAATATAGGTACGCGTATTTTCGTCGCACGCTCGCCGCCGCCGTGGTGGTGTCGTCGTCGTCGTTTACATAGGTGGAAAAATAAAAACGTGAAAGCTCGTGTGATACGGGAACCGCCTACCCGTAGCCCGTAGGTGTCGTTTTTCGGCGAGACGGACGTCCAGTGTTATTATAATATTTTCGCGTCGCTATTGCCGGGACGCGTGCAGGGGACACGTACGGCCCGGGGACGACCGTCGACGGGTTTCGCGAATTTTTCGCCGTCTTATATTATAACGTCGACGCCGGTGTCTTCTATTATCGCGTATATATCCTATCTCCGTCTCTCCTCTCTCTCTCTCTCTCTCTCTCGTTGGCAAAACAAGAGAGAGCGTGTCATCTCCTATCGTCGTCGATCGATGAATCGATACGTTTTTTTACTATACTACATAGCCGCTACTGATAATAATAATAATAATAATAATAATAATAATAATAATACAAGTATATATATATATATATATATATATATATCTTATATTATATAGGTACACACTTCGGCGTTTCCCTGCGAAACTGCTGTGCGGCGGACCCGCAGCCTATCCCAATTGAACTCTAGTTATACGCACCGCTCAGACGCGCGCGCGCACACAAACATGCGCACGTATACGGTAATAAAATAGTAAATAGTACACCCGACCGCAACTGGAACGAGAGACACGCTTCGGTCATGCCTTCTGCGTCGTACTACTACAACTACTGCGACTACACTATTACCACGACTACTACTACTACGACTACTACTAATACTACTAATACTGCTAATACTGCGTCTATTCGTCGTCGTATCTATGCTCGTTCGACTCGTACCTGTTCTAGGTGAAAAAAAAAAAAAAATAAAATAAATTTATACGCTCAGAATTTAAAACGCACACGTTGCCCGCCGCTACCAGCAGTAGTTATCCGCCGCGGTCGTCGCATTGTAAACGTCCCGTCTGCCCCGTTAATTGATTAATTGATATTTGCTACACTACAGTATTATTATTATACCTACCTACCCGTGTTCTGTTCGCTGTACGAAAATTAATATTATTATTATTATTATAATATTGCACTCGGCACGGCGGCGCGACGACGACTACGACACGACGTCGCGATAATACAAATTACCCGGCCACCCAGGTATTTCGCCGTTTTTTTTTTTTCCGCGCTCTAATGTCGTGCGGCTATGTGCGTTTTTAGAGAGAGAGAAAAAAAAAAAAATCAAATCTCTTTTCACGTCGCCAAATATCCGTACCGTAACACCTAATCGTCCCGTCATGTGCGCGCCAGTTTGTCCAGTAGTCTTAATACTACCTACTATAATTTAGTACTCAAATATTATATTATGAGTAACTAGTGTCTTACTGTTTTCTAACATCGCCGTTTTTCACGGTTTCCAGATGAATTGACTAAGAACGGATTCGTCGTCCCCGACAGTCGATTGTGGTGGTGCAACCATGGCTGACGTACTGCAGTCCATCTGCAATCCGTTGCCCTTATCGTCCAGTCAGTCATCCATTGTCAAAGAAGGTTGGCTGTTCAAAAGAGGTTTGCATCTATTATCTAAACATAGACTAGAATCCACGGCCACTTTGTTGTATTAATATTATCTTCTTACACCGTACGACCTTTAACATTTTCAGGCGAACATATTAAGAACTGGAGGTCCAGATATTTTATATTGTTTGCTGACGGATCACTAATGGGATACAGAAACAAACCTGAAGGTCCAATGACTGAACCCCTTAATAATTTTACCGTCAAAAGATGTCAAATCATGAGTGTTGATCGTCCCAAACCTTACACGTTTCAAATTAGAGGATTACAATGGACCACTGTTATCGAACGGACATTTCACGTGTCTTCTGAAAAAGAAAGGTAACACTTAAATTTGTTTGTTATGTACCTATCTATTTGTTTCATTGACAAGTTGCTAACTTTACTCATATTAAAAGGTATTAATTACCTTTTTTTTTTTTTTTAATAAATTGTCCAAAAACAAATAAAATGATTTATCTTAGTACTTAAAACAAAATGAAAATTTGGTGTTCTACAGTAATGTTTATTTTTAGTAATATCCCTACTACAATTCACCAACCAATATATATATATTTATAAATATTGAAATGACAAACATTTTAATATTAAAAACACTTTTCTTTAATATCATTTTACATATTGTTATTTACTAGATAAAATTATAAGTAAATTAGTATAAATAGTAAAATGAGTATATGTCCCAGGATTTGTATGCATTTAATGTTGCTTAACTTTTATTTAGGAACTCTAAACCTCTCCACTTTTGGCCCCACCCATAAATATAATATTCTACTAAACAACAAATAGGTATAGTAAGTAAGTAGGTACTTATTAAATAATGATAATAATTATATCAGTATATTTATGGTATTTTAACCATTTAATCAATAGGTAATTTTAACTTTTTTAACTATGGTTTTTTTTGTTCTTTTTATGTAATAATGTATATTGTAATAATAAACAATTTTATCAATCAATGAAAATAAAAACAACTTATCGTCAAAAATAATTCTTAATACAATTATTACTTAAATAGCTATAACAATTATTCATTTAAATTATAGAAATTAAATTTTATGAGTCATGAATCTAAATACTGATTATTCATTAGAAAATTACAATTTTTGTAATTACTAGGTATTAAATTAGATATTGTATGATTATAAAGAAAAATATTACATTATTACATTATTTTTAGTATTATAGTATTCTAAATATTTGAATATAGTAGAATCTAGCAGTCGTGGCTTCTGAGTACATATTTTTTTTATAGATTCTTTAAACTTGTTTGTTTTGATTTCACTGATATTTTTTTCATGTTTAGCGATTTTCTAATGAAACCAAAATAAAAGCAACTTGATGAGCTTTTTGAGTGTTTGAGAAGATTTTGTCTAACATTCCACTTGGTTCATGCTAAAAATGTATGACTGAAAACTACTGATTTGTCTGCAAAGTTTGTTCTGAGAATGTCAAATCAAAGTGAAAAACAAATTCAAGTCTGTATGTTATCATTTCGTGCACCTGTAGACATAAGCTATGTGAAATGTTACATTTCTCTCAAATATACAAAACAAAATTGAGAAAAATCCGCTCACATTTTAAAAAGCTCATCAAGTTGCTTTTCTTTTCAATTTATTAAATTACAAAATTGCCAAACACTGATATTTTACGAAAATATTGGTGAAATTAAATCAAAAAAGTTTATAGAAAATCTATAAAAACAAATGTGCTCAGATAAGTCATAGAAGCCAGTATACCAATAATTCTGCTGTTCAATGCTCATTTTTCAGAGTTATACTATGAGTCTCAATACTTTTTGATTAACCTTTGTATTTTGGTTATTTTTAAACCATTTTATTGCTGCATACAAATATAAAATAGATTCCTTCCTTCTAACTTCTCCTTAAACAGTGGCATACTTATCAGCAGTATCAGCCTCCAAAATAATATATTTTTAAGTATTAAATTCTAAAACGATCTTTGTTTTTTTTTTCTTTGAAATTCGTTATGGAAATGAAAATTATAGATATTATATACAAATTAGGTTAATATGTTTTAATTTTGGCAACAAAGGCATTATCCACAACCACGCATGAAAAGTTAGAGGTTAACATTTAACCTAGTATAATGATAAAATAAAAATAAATTATTTTACATATTGATTTAAAATTGAAAAAAAAACCAAATTAAGTAAATATTGTATTGCTATTTCAAATTTTTTTTTCGTTAAAGAAACTCTCTTCATAATTTTACATTTCTATATTAAAATTAATGTATTAAAATACAACTTAAAAATAAAAAATTTATGAATTAACAATTATTAACATAAATTGAGTTTAAAGTACACATTGCTCAAATAAAATATGTTCGTGATACGTTTTTAAATAAAAACAATTTTAACTGTTTCAGGGTTAATATATTTGCATAATGCCGTTAATACCATAATAATTAGTTGTTAAAACCAAACCAAATAATTATTAGTTTTTGTACCTTGATATTGCAATTTTATCAAAATATTATTTATTTTCTTGTGTTTGCAATGGTTTTTGTATATCAATAATGATAATAATATCATAAAAATAACCTTTTAATTATTTTTACTACGCCAATTTCAATTTGTTATGTATGTAGTGCATAAAATATAAAGTATAATACACATGACTATATTTTTTTACCAATCATAAATAAAGGTCGGATAAAATACTAGATAATTTTTATCTAGTTTTTATCTGTGACCTGTTTGTCACATTATGAAATGGTTTCAAAAACATCTATTACCTATAAAATTATTAGGTAAGTAAAAAATAGTTTCAAAGTACATAACATCATCCAATCCAAAATAACTTTAAAGGTCATGAAGTCTGTAAACAATAATTATGATTAATTTAAGATACAAAAGCTTTATAAAGATTTTATAAATCTCTGTGAAATTTGAATGCAATATTAATAGGTATATTATTTTATAAAAGCCAAAAATAATGATCCCAATGGTATAAGTGTTGTATTTTACTTTGCCAACCTTGGTGCGAGATAATTATAACTATAAAAAATTCTGAATAGATCTCAGTATTTAAATTTAAACTTTTGGTTGTGTATTATTTTCTGCTTGGAAATTAGGAAAATGTTACTTTTCTAAAGTACTATCATACGATCGCTGTTCTTTTTTTTACCCTTGTATTTATACTCTAAAATATGTTTCCTGATTATCACAATTACCATATTTTTAAAACATTTAATCTCTTATCTCAATATTCCAATTGTAATATGAAAAATTTGATTTAAAATCCATATATCTATTATTTTATGCTTATGTATAAATATTATAAAATGTAAATTATATAGTATAATATTACATTGATGAAACTTATATCTTCAATAAAATAAAATTGATAGATAAGTTACTGTATTTTAATCAAAATAAAATGTAATAACACTATTATTGTGGTGTTATTAATATTTAATAGGTTTCTTAATAATAAAAACATCAACATAGACGTAAACATAATAATTACTATGTTGTGCTACAATAATTAATATATTAAATAGGTTATTCAAATTAAATGTATTATTTCACTAAGTATTTAACTATTTTGAATAAATATTATTAATTTAAATGCATTCCTTTATTTAAAAATGTATACTAAAACTTACAATTATTACTTATAATTAAGTAACAATTGTAACCTATTCATTTTATATTCTGAGCGGAACGAGGAATGTATTGGTTTTACAATGATGTTTATTTTATTTTCTCTTTCTGTAGATAACTTTTATAACATCAATTTTAATCAGATTTACAGTGATAGCACTTCTTCTGAAAATAAATCTGATTAGGGTGGTATTTTATGTAGGTTATTTTTTAATTTTTCTAAGAGTTTTCCCAATGAAAAAAAAAATTAGTACTATATTAAGCAAATATCATTAAAAAATTATTTAATGCATTTGTAATTATTTTTACAATAATACGGCATATGTATTATTGACAAAACAACACTATTAACCAAATTCTGCGCAGAATGTTTTTTTGGTTGCAATGGTTAATCGTTGCGTACAGATATACATTAAATTTCCTCTCTACCTTTCCAACTTCTCACCTATTAAACACAGTGGCCCACCCACGTGTGTTGTATGTTTGTTTTTTTATTTAAAAGCAATATTTATTTACACATTTATTTTTTATTTTATACTAAAGAATGTATGTTTAAATTTTGAAATCTTAAATATTCTATTTATTCAAAGTTAATTTCAAAGTTTTTTTTTTTAACACATTTATAGAGAAGAATGGATGACTGCCATTAAGGGTGTATCAGAACGTTTATGTGATGTCGACGAAGTCGATATGGAAGGTGTATCCCATTCAACTAGTGTGTCAAGCACAATGTCTGGACCAAGTTCGGATGACTTTAGTGCTAAATTTTCTGTTCAAGGAACTTCTTCTAGTAAATCCACTGGAAAACGAAAAGTTGTATGTATTGTTAAAATGTTTAATGTATATGGAATATTTATTATTCTATTTATTGCTCGTAATTTACTTTATAGACCCTTGAGAATTTTGAGTTTCTGAAAGTACTTGGAAAAGGTACATTTGGTAAAGTTATTTTATGCAGAGAAAAAGCTACAGGCCATTTATATGCCATCAAAATTCTTAAAAAAGAAGTCATCATCCAAAAAGATGAAGTTGCTCATACGCTAACAGAAAACAGGGTTCTCCGCACTACTAGTCATCCTTTTTTAATTGTAATTATTATTATCTTATATAATTTTCAGTAATACATGTGCTTAATTTTATTCTTTTAAAATATTATTTTGTTTTATTTCCAGTCATTGAAATACTCATTTCAAACAGCGGATAGATTATGTTTTGTAATGGAGTATGTAAATGGCGGAGAACTATTCTTCCATTTGTCCAGAGAACGGGTGTTCACAGAAGATAGAACTCGTTTTTACGGAGCTGAAATTATTTCTGCTTTGGGTTATTTACATTCCCAAGGAATTATTTACAGGGATTTAAAAGTAATAATTTCTAAAATCTTTTTTTTTTTTTAAATTTTCAAATAATAATTACTACTGGGTTTTTTTAGCTTGAAAATTTACTTTTAGATAAAGATGGCCACATTAAAATAGCCGACTTTGGTTTATGTAAAGAAGATATTACTTACGGATCTACTACCAAAACTTTTTGTGGTACACCCGAATATTTGGCACCTGAGGTGTTAGAAGATTTAGATTATGGTCGAGCTGTTGATTGGTGGGGAATAGGTGTAGTTATGTATGAAATGATGTGTGGGCGATTACCATTTTACAACAAAGATCATGACAAATTATTCACTTTAATTTTGATGGAATCTGTATGTTTAGTAGTATTACCTTAAGTGGTAATTTTTTGTTTTATTAATTTTTTTTACATTTCAAAGGTACGATTTCCTAGAGGTATTTCCGCTGTTGCAAAAAGTTTACTTTCGGGCCTTTTGATCAAAGATCCCAAAAAACGATTGGGTGGAGGTCCGGAAGATGCCCATGAAATCATGAGTCATGGTTTCTTTAGTAGTATTAATTGGTTGGATTTGGAACAAAAAAAGGTAATAATAATTAAAAATTGTTTTTGTTTAACAATTAGTATTATGTTTTATTTTTCAATACAATAATACAATAATTTTTTTTTTATGTGTTTAATTTAGATTCCACCTCCATTCCAACCTCAAGTATCATCAGACACTGACACGCGATATTTTGACTCTGAATTTACTGGGGAATCTGTTGAACTCACACCACCTGACATGACGGGCCATCACCTCAATAGTATCGCAGAAGAAATGGACCATCCAACACAACCATACTTCCCACAGTTCAGCTACCAAGACCTAGCCGGATCAGTATCAATTAGTGCCAGTTCGTGTTTCAGTCATACGTGAACAAAGTATAAATATGTAAGTGATTCCGTAAAATATCATTTAACAATTAATTTACTACAAATGATAAATTGACTTTATTAGGTATTCTTCTTTATTTTTTTTTTTGACATTAGGCTATTGTTTGTACATAAATTGTGAACTAGTGAATTTTTTTTTTTCCTGAACGTTGGTCAAATACTTATTGAAACATAAAACACAAAGTCACACATGTATAAACGTTCAGTATTTGTTCATTGAATTTTTTCAAATTTTTTTTTTCTTTTCTGTATGTAGTCATTTATTATAAATTTTGCTGTTTTTTTTTTCCAATTATTATTTATTATTATTAGTTTTTTTTTTTTATCTATCTTGTTAAAAGTGTTTTGTTTTGTGTACATATTGTTAACAAATTATTCTAAAAAACATTTTACCGGTCACCCTTACGTGCAGGATAAATTTTTTATTCTTAAAAAAAATTGTAAAACTTTTTTCATTTTTTTTTAAATAATTCAATGTGATATATCAAATGTTTATCTCATTAATTTTACATTGTATCAGGCTGTAGTAGTTGTATTGGGTTTATAAGGTAGTGTTACATTGAAGCAGGCTCTAGAAATCGTATTGGGTTTATAAGGTAGTGTGAATGGGAAAAAATGTTAGGTAAGAAATTGTGTACAATTGGCGGGATTTGTACCTTAGGGATAATTTGAAAGGCTTGCAATCATGTTTTTATTATAAAATACATTATGATTTATATATTGTCAATTGTTATAATATAGCCTCACATATTACATAAACTAATTGTTGAATCATTTCATATCGAGTATCATTCAGATTTTATGTTATGTCATAATTTAAATTTTTTGCTGTCATTTACATAATTGCCACATTTATAAATAAATTTGAAAAGTTAATAAAAATTAAATTTACTTTTCTCAAATAGTCATTATTTTAATTAGACTTGTGCAAAAGAAAATGTAGGAATTTGAACGTTTATTTACCAAAATTTAAATTTGGAAGTAAAGTTAAAACATTTTTATTTTTAAATTGGTACTGTTAAAATATTTTTTCCATCTATTTATCGTCGTTGTCATGTTAAAAGTGACCTTTTATAGAATGTATGTTTAAAAAAAAAACTTGTCTGAATGCCTAATTTCATCCTTATTACGCATGAAAGATTAATACTAAAAAAGTGATATACATAGTTTAGGAACAAATTATTATATAATATTCTTGATTTAAATCAGAATTTAATAAAATTTAAATCTCTTTCACCTTTACCCTTATTATTATTTAAATTTTTAAATCACTTGATCACTTGGTATAGCAAAAAATGTATTATTAATTGACTATTTTATTCTCTTAATTAGTAGTCTTGAGTTTTGCCCGTGCACAAAATTGAACGAAAATATACAAATAATGCCAATTATGGAAATTTAACTCTTCTTTTTTTTTTTTTTTTGATCATTTAAAAGTTGAATTTTTTAAAAATTCTTTCTAAAACTAATAAAAGAAATTTCATTTACCGGTTCCCTTTATTTCCCTTGTAATAACAGTTATTTTTTTTAATTTGGTTTTAGGTCTTACCCAGACAAACATTATTTATTATTATAGAATATTAAAGTATTATAACCTTTATTATCATCTAGTTACAAAAAGAATTACATATTACACTGTTGACCATTTGACCTAATTTTTATTTAGTTCATAAATAATATTAAATTTGATAACTTTGGAGAATGCAGTTGTCTTAAATGTGTTTTGTGAAGCTTTGCCAATTTAAACATTTTTTTTTTGAATTTCGTAGAAGTACTTTGATCTTATATCTTAGTTAATAAATAAATAATTTGTGTTGTTGACTTCATTAGTTAAGTTTTCATTGTGGAAACTCTCCCATTAACAGATTATTTTCATAAATTAATGTGAAGTTGACAAGTTAAAGACAAATTATTGAATGTGATTTTAGCATTTTCATAATTAATCAAGTACGCATTAGAGTTTAAATGATTTTGACAGTACCACAACATATTCATATGCAGCTAGGAGGTAAAAAAATGCATAACATAATACCGGAGTCTTAATTTTAATAATGTTAAATTTTATACTTGATTAATAAATTATGATATTATAGAATTATTATTCAATGTCCAAAGTATAATAAAATTAATAATGTGACTACTATACTATTTTTCACGAAAGAACGATAGAGTCTCGACAAAAACCAGTCATTCTTACACATCCCCACGTTGCACCTTAACCAGGGCTTCCACCACTATTAGGCCCGGTGTAATTTTGCGGACTGCCGTCAACGACGAGAGTAGTAGAGAGTGATCCGTAAGCTCAGTCTGCGTGCGCGAAACATTATCTTTCTCGTGTGAAAAATAGTATAGTTTTGACCTTAGCTATCTTCAAGAAAACCAGTATGAACATGGTACAAAAAGACAAAATTGTATATAAAGGATATTACATGTGTATAAAAATAGTACACATCAATACTTTTTTTGATACACATGTATTTGCCTTTATATACAATTGTATCTTATTGTTTATTCTTGTTTTTTTCTACATTGTAATTGTAATTGTATTTAGATATTTTTTTTTATTTTATGTTAATGTAACCTAAAGGTAGTTTAGACATATTTTATTATACTTTGGTTTTGACTATTTAATCATTCTATAATTTCATAATTTTTATATTAAATACAAATTTTTAATCAAATCAATTATCATAATTATTGTATTGATAAATATCACAGAACAAATAATAATCAATCATAATAACCATCTTACCTCTTTATGAAATTAATCAAATGTTTTAAGCTATGTAAAACCGGATTATGTGACAGCCATTTTAAATTGTTTTAATGAACTCAAGAGTTAATTTTTTATTCAGGCTTTGTTGATGATAACAAATTTAAATTCATATCGATAATACACTATATCGAATAATATTGAGAAAAGCATTTATTATTATTATTATTATTATTATATTAAGCTATATTATTATTTTTGTCTTTATAAACGACAATTTACAATAAGAAAATAAGTATTATTAAAATATTCTGACCTTTACTTTTTGTAATTTTTTTTTTTCATGGTCAGAATGTGTAAAAGTTCAAATATTAATTTACTGTTGTTCAACCGGCGAATATTTTTTTCATACTGTTGGATAAATAGTTTTTTTTAAAAATTGTATAACACATTTGAGCGTTGTATCATACTGATACATACTATCATCTGCTATTCTTGTCAATCGAATGTTTACCACTAAAAATATTAAGTACAACTCTATTGCGTATATTAAGAGAAACATAATTAGTTGGAATATAAATGCTGATAACTAATATGTTGTAAACTAAAACCCCCCAAAAAAGTAATAACCCAGGAATTTAATTTGTTTCAAAAACTGGAAAATACATATATGTTAGTAAATAATTTTAATGAAAGGTAAAATATCGGAATGATAATTTTATGGAAATCTAATCTAACTAAAAAATTTGCCAATTTGTTGGAAATCTTTTATTACCCTTGGGTGTGTTCAAAAATTCAATCAAAGTTAACTGTAGTTAATTGAGGATTGTTTGAGAAAACAGAGTTAACTTTACAAACGACTGCAACCACCATTCGATCATAATGTGTCATTATTTTCTTAGAGTCAACTCTTTGTAACCTCAGAGAATGGCTAGGTTATTTTAACTCTATTATAGTGATGATAGAGTTAGTCGGAAATAAAAATCCATTTTTTGAGAATTTTAGACTTGAATTTTGAAAATCCTTTTAAAAATTGTTTTGAAATAAATAAAAATATAATTTTAAAATAAAATCTATAATATAAATAATATTCATAAATTAATATACGACTGTGTAAATTGTAAATAATATATTTTTTTTTTACCAGGGGAAACTTAATTTAATTTATAAAGTATTCCTCATTTGTAACATAAATTGTTGACTATTTCATAATATTATATTATAATGTGATAATAAATTTTATAAAATATAATTCATTATTTATTTTTAATTAATACTTGACTCATGTTATTAGTTTATTCTTTATTAACTATTTAGTACGTATAACTTATAATATTAAATATACTCTGATTATTATGCATTTTCGGAAACAAACTCGACTGTAATATGATGCTATACTATAGCATTTCTGCTGTGATTGCATTTCCCGAAAGATTAGCTTTCAATTAGATTTCCAACAAATTAATTTAATTTATTATTTCATGACCATTAGAATTCCTATATTTTATTTTTTCTCCGTTACCCCTAACTATATTCAGTAGTTTTTAATATTCCGCCCGGTTAGTTTTCTCTAAATTTATTTTCAACGACATTAGATTGCATACCTAATCTTGTGCATTTATTTACCAACGAATTATTATGGGCTGCGTGCGCACAAATTCATTTTTCGAAAAAAAGGATTGAAAATCAGCTCTCGAATTCTCTCATATTCTTTTTAATGATAATTCCGTTTGAGGTACTACTACACGCGCGACCGAAGAAGAAAAATAATCTATAATAATAATAATATTATATTATTTTTACACTCGTGAAAGATACAAATCATTTTTTTGTTTTCTATACTACTGCTCAACGGTGCACACAAATAATAATATTATGCAGCTGTTTCGGCAATATACTCGCGGCGTATAATTATATGTATTTTACATATAATATATAATACGTGTTCCTATAATCATATTATTATTGTACGATATTATTATTTTATATTGTAATGTAATAACATTCAGATCTGAAACGGCTGAATTTATAACTATTTATAATATTTTACCGTTATCCGGATTAGGTCGACTAGAATAATACAATATTATTACATTTTAGATTGTTATTATTATTATTATTATAATTATTGTGTCTGTATTGTGATTGTCAATGCGACTTGACTCGTCGCGTATATTTTTTTTTAACCGCCTAATCCGAGGCGTTATTTTGTTTTATTGTATTTTTAAACAACCACAAATAGTGTAGGTGGTACTTACGCCAGACGGGATATCAGGTGGTGTGGGTGTTTAGGACGCGGGGGATGGAGGGGGGGGTGATCGTCCCCGGAAAGCCGGTATAACGGCGAAGGAGGAGCGGGGGTAGAAGAAAAAAAAGAGATATTTAAAATGATAAATCGGTAATGCGCGTTTATGTTTTTTTTTTCGAATGCGCGTTAAAATGTTCTTCGATCGGTTGGGGTATCCGCGGAAAATTAAAAACCGAGCATTCGCACGCATATAGCGGTTAAGACGATTTTCCTTCTGCGGCACCGGTCCGCATATTGCGTGGCGTGAAACGGATAACGTGCTGAATACAGATTAGCTATATTTTATTATACATAGGTACTGTAGAATCGCGCGATTCGCGAATCGTTTAGTTTTTTTTTTTTAAAACTATCATTCATAACTATTTACTGAAATGAAAACCAAATTGAAACGTCTCTTTAAAAAATTAGGCGTAGTAAAAAATTTTCTTCGCTATTATTCTATCACTTCCTTTCCGCCGCCGTTAAATCGACGTGAGCGGATATAGAAACTCGCATACAATCTCTGCAGCTCCGCGTACGACCCGATCCCGGTATTGATTGAAAACTAGAACGATACTTGATGTGATTTTTTTTTAAAATAATAAAACGAGTAATATTATCTGGGCCTTAATTTTATTTTGATGTCGGGCGATTAACGACAATCCGTAAAATTGATTGTATCAATGAAATATATCGTGTTTTAATCAACCGAGAATAACGCGATCATTTTTTTTTTAAACGTAAAACGCGTACTCGTCACACAAACAGTTTAAATAAATAATCGCAATAAAAATCAATCAAGAAAATGACTGGGTAAGGATCTCCCTTAACACCACTGATACCACTGGCGTACAATCGGCCGGTCTTAATAATATACGTACCAAGTCAAGTCGCATTAACACGCGGTAAATTATTACAATATTAGATTTTTAACTAAGTTTCGAACTGTCCACGTATTTATCCGTTTCTGTATTAGACACCTCTGTATTATCATACCCTCAGTGGCGTGCGCAAGTGAGCGGAGGTTAGGGACTATATTCCTCCTCCTCCTCCTCCTCCCCCTCATTGGCTTAAAAATACATAACTATAAGAGTATTTGTTTAGTGTTTATTATCTTAAAAAATCTTGTGAAATTACAAGGAAAAAATAATAATTGTTGAATACGGTTTTACGGATCCGGGTTTTAAATTATCGTTGTCTGGCACCTGTTTAGTGTCCCTTAACGACACAAATTTCCGGACACGCCACTGTGTAAAAATAACAAAACAACGTTATTTTGTCCCCCCCCTTCGAAATCTGTATGTATTTTGGAAAAGAAACAATTTTATTACCTAGGTATATTATGTTTTCTAAATACAATAGATTGCTTCTCCTTCTCCTCCCCGGTAGAAAAAAAAAATACAAAATGAAAAAAACACACGACATTAGGCGTCGTAAAAAATCAACAAATCGTTACCTCAAAAAAAAAAAAAAAAAAAAAACCAAAAAAAAACCGGGGAAAAAATTGCGCGTATTTACCAATGATTTTATTTTATTATTTTATTTTATTTTATTTTATTATTTTTGTTTAATCGTAACCGAATATCAAAGTACTATTTTTTTAAGTTTTACCTTTTGTGACTCACCTACTATATTACCTATTATCTATTAGTTGTATAATATTATTATTAACTGAAAAAAAAAAAAAAAAAAAAAAAAATGTATAATCATTTGTTATAGTTCGAATACGGATTAATCATTATCGATTTTATTATTATTTATTATTCGGCGGGATATTGTGTAATAATGTATACATCGTTCGTTTCCTTGTCTATGTTATAATAATAATAATAATAATAATAATTTTTAAATAAGACCCGTGCCTATATACATTTTATATTATATAATATACACGCAGGTTCTGGGTCGTAAAAAAAAAAAAAAAAAAAAAAATCACGCAGAATTACGTTATTAAATTAAATCATTGTTTGTATAAAATTAATAATTTATAAGACATCGAGGGGACTATATAAATATGAATTACAATTGTATGTTTTTTTTTGTTTTTTAATGTACAATGTATTTTTTTTTTTTTTATTATAAAAAAGAAAAACCTACACGTGTAAGATTTAATAATAATAATATGTAGACGTATTATCATATATTATATTATACAAAGTATTAGATTAGTAAAATATATATATATATATATATATATATATATATTTTACTAATCTAATACTTTGTATAATATAATATAT